CACTCAACACGTTGGAAATTCGTTTCCTTTGAGTTCTCTTCGCCAATGGCCAAAAAAAAATTAAATTGCTTTCCCACACTCCGGTTAAAAAAAAAACCATTTTTCGCGGATTTTTTTTTATTAAAGAGTAAGTTGAACTCTTCAATGGCTAAAACCAAAGAAAACAAGCCTAAAAATATTTACCTGTGGGAAACATCAAAGTAAAATTACACCTGTAGCCCAGACCTCCCAGCACTGAAAGTTTTGTTATTAAATTTAGTTTATCCCTAAACTTATGTTTACTTCGACATGAATGTAATCTATATTCAGATCTTTAAACGAAGATATATGTCCAAAAAATATGGAGTTTTTTAAATTAGTTTGTTTGAAGTCTTCAAAAAAATATTTTTGGCTGGAAGCTTTTTGTTTTTGTGAGGTTAAAACAAAAGGAATGCGGCACAAAATGAGAGACAAGCGAGTTTTACAGCTTCGAAAGAACGTAAAAAAAGGTGAAGATTCCTCTGTAGGCCTAGCCATCCATATGTTTCTTGACATGTTTCTTGACATCCATCAGCATGTGGAGGGATGGTGCGGCCAGCACTTTGCCCAGCCGCCTTTACTTTCCTAAACGTAAGTCAGGTACCCAACAGGGTTGGGTGGACTCAGGGACGTTCTACAGTCACAAGTCCGAACCGAGATCCGAACTCGTTACCTACGAGCTAGTAGCTAAACGTTCTATCATTCACCCACGCCGCCCCATCTTTGGAAGAACGTGCAATTTCAAATAAGTATTAATTTGTATTAATATTTTTAAGATTGGCTTTTATTTATTTTAAATCCGTAATTTCATTATATATAAATTATTTTGTGTAATAGTCAACATTCCCTCAAAATAAAATAAAATCACATCAACTTTTTTTTGAAAAAAAAAGCATTAATATCAAGAAATAGATATAAGAATTTAAAGTAGTTACCTAATGGCAAGATAGATACACCAGGAGCAAAAACCACGACAAAAAAAAAATAACAAAACATACAACCATATTTTTAACACCATATAAAGCTAAAACAACACACGAACAACATAGACCAAAACTTGATTCAAACTTATAGGGCTGGTAAGTAGGTCGCCAACCCGTTCTACGGCTTAATAAAACCTGCATGAGCCATAGAACTGGTTGGTGACCTACTTACCAGCCCTATAGCAACAATTATCTGCATACTTGGTTTCTTCTTTCATATGCACCATGAAGTTCTATGACTCGACGCCACGTCTATATTCTTTTATTTTTAGAATAAGTTAAACAAAAAACTGGAATTTTCAAACCTAATTTTAAACACGACCTAATGTCGCACGCAACTTCAGAGCTTTCTGTAATTCAAATTTAGCCAGATACTCACGACAATCAACACTGAGCTGGACGGGATATCTTTCAAACTTTTCCCAATAGACGCAAAGCAATCAATTACATTCTTGGTGCCAGGGTGGGTTTGCGTCATTCTTTTACTGAAAACAATTGCCCGAGAAATGATGTTGTTATTGAGACCATTTCTAAAACATTTTTTTTTAAATTCAGGAGTTCCCCACCGGATTGATTCACAACTTTATCATTAACCCCCAGATATATTATTTTTTCATCACAAATACATACAAATGGCTCCCCGGCAAAAAAAAAACTTGAACAAATAAAATCTCACAATGATGAAAACCATGGACATAAACCGTCGACATAAGGGCCCTGGACAAAAATCCCTCACGACAAAAACACCGGAAATACCCACTCCCCCTTCCCCACCCCGCAGTAGGCTATATAAGGGGAGGATCTTCGAGTAGAAGTAGAATTGCTTTAAAAAACAAAGAACACGTAACAAATACATACAATTTTAATGAAAGATTTTCAACACATTTTATCAATGTACGTTTTAAAAAAAAGATTTTGAGGAATTTTTGCTGGGGGGGGGGATTAGCAGTCTTATGTCCAGGTTTTTTCGCCTGTACACAGATTCGGTCTACAAAGCAGCTATTATAATCTGGGAGTCCATTGCCCTTTTTATGCAATACTTCACTGTAAAAAAATTCCTATTATCGATAGGGCGTTCCCTCAATTGATGACGTAAGATTTAAAACAACGGTGTCAGGCACCACGGAAAACTCTGAGATCGCATGCCATTGTCAGCGCCCCGTGTGCTGGAAGGAATGGCATGACGTCATGCTAGACGACCAAGTCCCCAGTGTAGATCGATTTAAACAAAAATAAATTAGATCCAGTGACGTCATACGTAGGTCAGTCGTGGATATATTTTAACGCTGGGAACACGAAATAGGCTGGAGAGAATTTTGGTTTGAATGCCGAGATTTCTCTGTCATTTGTATGCCAAGATTTCTCTGTCATTTGTATGCCAAGATTTCTCTGTCATTTGTATGCCAAGATTTCTTTGTCATTTGCATGCCAAGATTTCTCTGTACATGTGATATGAATGCCAAGATTTTTCTGTCCTTTGTATGCCCAGATTTCTCTGTGCATTTGATATGAATGCCAACGTTTCTCCGTCATTTATATCCCAAGTTTCCTTTGTACATGTGATAGGAATGCCAATTTATCCGTGACTTAATGCCAAGTTTTCTGTAATGTGATATGCCAAGTGCTAGGTCTTTTAACTCCACCACTAATTTTCCTCTATTACTTTAACTAGTTCCAGGTTACCTGTCTTGATCTATGCAGGTATACTGACACGCTCTGGTTATATAATCTCAACTATTTTCATTACAAACGGACTGAAAGTTGTGCTTGACTTTTAAGGACATGGACATTGTTGTTGTTTGAAGACTTAAAATCCTGATCTACAGTAGCTAAAACCTACAGAGAAGAACAGCTGTTTCCTACGTGTACTGTATGCTTTATATATAATTCGTTGAGGAATAAGATCTTGGAAGAGTGTCGGGTGGGGGGGGGAGGGGTGGGGTGACGTGGTTACATCTCTTGGGTGACGGGCGGCGAAGACAACACCGCTAACTTTGGTGCCAATCTAGCCAATCAGAATCTCAACTCTACTAGATTGTGAATGTTTTTTAACACTTTAACTTCGCTGTGTACTTTTCTCTCCAATCTCTCTCTCGCCCCCTCCCTGCATTCTCTCTCTCTGTCCCTCTCTCTTTCTCCCTCTCTCTCTCTCGTGGGAATGTTTTTTTTTAAATCACTTAATCTTTCCTTCCTATTGATTTCGCCAAGACAGGTAGCTCAAATCTTAAATAGCCATTATTCTTAATTATCCGCGGTTTTTATCGTAATTAAATCTTTCCGCAAGGGAGGAATGTATTTATTTTAAACGTCACATTATTCTTTCTCCCTTTCTCTTCATCTTACCCCCTCCCTCTTTCTTTCTCTCTCTCTCTCTCTCTCTCTCTCTCTCTCTCTCTTCTATTTTCTTGTTCATGTATCCATTTATCAAAACATGGAAAATCGGTTTCCAAATTAGTAAGTCTGTATATTCCGTTAGAATATATATATATATATATATATATATATATATATATATATATATATATATATATATATATATATATATATATATATATATATAGACTTAGAAGCAACAAAACCACTTGACAGAATATTTCGCAACACTGCAGATGTCCCCTTTAACACCGCTGTACAAAATAAATTAACAGCCTTCCATTGACAAAATCTGTTTACAAAATGTCGTCGTTTTGTCTTCCCATTGTCAGACTTTTTTATTTACAAAGAACGCGCTACGTCATGCAAACGATACTTCTTCCGCCTACTTTAATCCGAATCGCCACCACAGGATTAGCGTCCGATCCTTCACGCTAATCCCAGTATTGTTCTAGCGTTAGGGAACTACTTAACTGCTCGGCTGTACGACGTCTCAAGATTCAATGACTCGGCGTCCATCTGTTGTTGTTTTGTCTTCTGTATAGGATCAAACACGACGGCCGTGCGAATAGACAATTTTTTTAATGGTTTTGTACCCAGTAATTTGGCATTGGTCTATAGGAGTTTTTTAAGTGAAATGAAAAGGGGGAGAATTGGTTGAGTTTAGCTGGAGTTTTAAATGGTTCGTGTTTTTTAAAAAGTGTACTGATCTTAGAATAGATATCGATCGATTATAGGAGCGTTGGATGGAATATGGAGTGTGGGGGTGGTTGAGGTTGTAATAGAGTGTTCAAATTGTAATTGATAGTTTGTTGTCAAATGACGTGTGATTTTTATTGTCTCGTGTGCTCGACTGAAGCTCGTAGCTACTTGTTGTATGATAGGAAATGTTCGAAGGTGTGTTCGTCTTACTCTTATGGAAAATAATGTTCGTGTTTGCCTAATTTGATGGGGATAATGTTCCTATTTGCTAAGGTTTCTGGGCAATAATGTTTTATTCGCTAGATTAATGGGGAATAATGTTCTTTGCTAAGGTTTCCGGAGAACATTTTATATCTTTACAAGTTTGATGGGAAATAATGTTTGTAATTGCTAAAATTGATGGATGATAACATTGTCTTTGCTAAAGTTGATGGGGAATTATGTTCTCCTTTGTTAAGGTCGATTAAAAAATATTTATTGGTCTTCTCTCTCCCTATCGTTCTCTGGCTCGTTCTCTCTCTTGTTCTCTCTCTTGTTCTCTCTCTTGTTCTCTCTCTTGTTCTCTCTCTTGTTCTCTCTCTTGTTCTCTCTCTTGTTCTCTCTCTTGTTCTCTTTCTTGTTCTCTCTCTTGTTCTTTCTCTCCCTTTTTCTCACTTCTCTCTTTCTTTCTCCCTCTCTCTCTCTCTCTCTCTCTCTCTCTCTCTCTATCTCTCTATTGATGTCCGGTCATTGATTCAGATATTCTAGCACATAGTTTCAAACAAAAATTGAATCACACAACACCACAACAACATATTTTTTGTTTATTCTCCTGATACATTTTCCAGAGTTGTAAATTTTATTTTCCTACAGTATTGAAATGTTTAGTCGTACACTGTTTTACGACCACGTACCTAATCTTTAATTATCTTTTTTTTAAACCAGACACCAATTAGTGAAGATTTATGACAACGGCAATACAAACATTGAAACAACACCCTGAGCTTGACAGGAAATACGTCACAACTGTGTCACGACCTTGGCACGACCTTGAGATCTACTCCCACAAACCAATCGCATGATAGTTTTTTTTTTCCTAAACAAGAAGCCAATCAAGACAGAGAGCGAGGGAGAAAAAAAAACCCACCAAGAACAACAACTCCAAATTTGCACCTGAAGTTGTCGTTCCTGATTTTTTATTATTATTGCCCTTCTCACCTCTTAGCAACGCCGCGTCATTAACCACGATGCTCTCCCTTCCAAAGCCGTGGCGTTTACTGCAGTTGTAAAGATGCCATTCTCTTCCAAGTTCGGCGTCATGCCCGCCACCTCCGGACCGCCCCCGCTTCGCTCCCCCATCCAGCGCCGCCTACCCCCTCTCAAGCAACAGACTCAGCCGGCCAACAACTCCTACCACAACGTTCCATCCAGCAGCCACAGCATCCTCCCGCCCGGCAGCTTTGCCATCACCAATGGCAACGCTCTCGTGGTCAGCGGCGTCATGACGGAAAAACCCTCTCCAACCGGAAACCACGGCCGGAACGGGTTGGCGTATACCAACGGGGTGAAAACCAACAACGGCTCCCCGTACCCGTTGAACAATGGGGTGGCCAACACCCTGGGGTACCTCAGTATCACCCCAGTGCCCGCCGCCCATACAGCGGCGTCGCCTATTGACACAACCTCGACAGTGTCGGTGTCACGTCTAGTGGGGAGGCGACCCTCTCCCATGGGACGTAACAAAAACAAAACCTTGAGCAAGCCGGGACTACAGGGTGTAACGACCGATACGGCATCCACAGGTAAAAGATTAAATCTATGTATAGTTCCTGCAGTTCAGGTCGGCATTTTATTAAATCTATATTATCCACAGGTAGTCCCATTTACAGGTAGTCCCATCCACAGGTAGTTTCATCCAAAGGTAGTCCCATCCATAGGTAGTCCCATCCATAGGTAGTCCCATCCACAGATAGTCACATCCACAGGTAGTCACATCCACAGGTAGTCACATCCACAGGTAGTCACATCCACAGGTAGTCCCATTTACAGGTAGTCACATCCACAGGTAGTCTTATCTACAGGTAGTCTCATCCACAGGTAGTCCCATCCACAGGTAGTCACATCCACAGGTAGTCTCATCTACAGGTAGTCTCATCCACAGGTAGTCCCATCCACAGGTAGTCATATCCACAGGTAGTTTCATCCACAGGTAGTCCAATCCACAGGTAGTCTCATCCATCCGGTAGTCCCCTTTACTCCCATGCACAACTATTAATTTAAATATTTTAGAAAGGTTGTATTCTTTGAAATATTTTTAGGTTTCTTTCTTTTGAAAATAACTTAAAAGATAATATCAATATATATAAATATATATATATATATATATATATATATATATATATATATATATATATATATATATATATATATATATATATATATATATATGCATTTATTTATTTATTCTCAACTTTTTTTTCTGAATTGATGGTATAATAAATGACTAGGATCACTTGTTGATTAATTCTCTTAACATAAATAGCACGCCTAAAATGTTAGTTTAAAATAAACGATTGAATTCCCTATTTAAAAATCCGTCAGATACTAAAGGTCAAACGGTTTCTTGTCTATTATATTATTTGAAAAAAAAACCTTTAGAATGTGTTCGGGTCATAAAAGATCACTGGAGAACGTATTGACTTCTGGTTTTTTTTTCAACTGATCAATCGTTCAGCCCTGCAATTATTCATAGGTCATTTCAACGGCTAGGTGTTAAGTGTAGCCTTTCATGATGGACCATATCCCTATGCGGAATATAGGGGAGGGTAATATATCTGGTTGTTAGGAGTGGGGGGTAGCATATATCTGGTTGTTAGGGGGTGTAGGGTCGCGATAGAACAGCTGTTTAAGGGGTCGTGACCGTAAGCTTAATTAAAGGTAGAGAGTTAAGGCAGCTGGCTCAGAATGGGCGTATTCTCTTGTAACCATGGCGACAAGAGGAACACACGTGCAGCATAATGCCATTTTAAAAAAATGTTCACTTTTAATACGATCGGTACTGGTTAGAGCTGAGCTGGTTCATGAAATGTCGTTTGAATTTAATATCATTTAAAATTGTGAAAGGGGTAGGGGGTGGGCGTCGGGTGTGTGGGGTTTTGCCCTAGCACCTAACTCACCAACCGCCACGCCACTGGTCATAAAGACACAACAACTACAAACCTGGGCGACTACTAGAGCAGAACATATACTCCGTTATAATAATAATTGGCTCCATAATGTAATTGGCGATTGGAAATTACACATTGGAAATCAAGGCTCAAACCCTGGGCAGTAAGTAGAGAAGAGATAGATGTTGTCTATGTATGGTGTATCAGGCCATATAGCCTATGGGGCTCTACACCTGTAGGTTTCGAAATTTGCTCCCTAAGTGGGATTCTGTCTTGATCTTCCCGGGGGTTCAGGGTTCGGAGTGGTCGTGTGCCGACCCCTTCGTCAGAAGCCCAACAAAACAAACCTCCATCCCTCACGGGTGCTAACCTTGAACACCCCCTCCCATTTTTCTACCTTAGTGCTAGCCTTGAAACAACCTCTTTCCATTTTCTAACTTAGTTCAGCCAAGCCTTGAAACGACCTCTTCCCATTTTCTACCTTAGTTGAACCAACCTTTGAAGCAATCCCTCCCCATTTTCTACCTTAGTTCAACCAACCTTTGAAACAACCCCTCCCCATTTTCTACTTGGGTTCCAGCCTTGAAATAACCCACCCAAGCATAGTTCGCCTACACTACAGCTGATCAAAGACACTATCGCCATCAACACAGAGACCGCAGCTGTAGTTGGTGTGGTAAGATGTTATCCCGTGGTCGGAGTACCGTGAACAAGTCCTTTATTGGACCCGGTTCACCTGATTACATCTGGGTGCTGACGTCACTCGGAAAACCGCCTTACCTGATCAAGGTGAATCGGTACTCTGGCTAAGATCTGTGGCAGATGACATCGGTGGCCAAGATCTGTGGCAGATGACATCGGTGGCCAAGATCTATGGCAGATGACATTTTTAACCAAGATCTATGACAGATGTCATTAAAACATCAACGCACAACAAATGTTTTATACTATATATATATATATATATATATATATATATATATATATATATATATATATATATATATATATATATATATATATAGGCGGCAGAAGAGAAAATGTCGACTCATGGCCATTAATTAACCTAAAACTCGGTTAACATAATAGTCTTATATCAACTGTTAAAAGTATACCTCGCTTGATTTAGTCTGTAACTTTTTAACGAAACAAACCTTTGTTTTTCATATTGTTAAATCAAAGTACCGATCTCCAATCAAATCGAATGGACCATTAACTTCAAATAGATTATTTTGTTAATGATATTGATAACTTAGGCCTTTTAGTTCTCCTAATAGCTTCCCCAAGAACTGTGTATTTGAACATAGACTTTGTGTTTAGTTTGAGTAGGGATGGGCCGTGTACTGAACACCAAATCACGAGTGAAAGAGCTTTCATTGAAAAGTTTAAAACACTAAATCCGTGTAAACAGGTCTAAAGAGTGATTGAATGAAAACATTTTTTACGATTTTACTTGAAGTGGAAGAAAATGGAATGTTTGTTCAAGGGTCAAAGGTCATGGAGGTGGATGTGTCCAATAGGTGGCACAAATGTATAGGTGTGTGGGTGTGGGGATGTGTGTAGGTGTGTTGGTATGTTTGGTGGTGTGTGTATTTGTATGTCATGAGTATTTCTGTGAGTGGCATGCGTATTTGTATGTTATGAGTATGTGTATGTGTAGTTGTATTTGTAGTTGTAGTTGTGGATGTGGGTGGACACGTATGCGTAGGCGACTGTGTATGTTTATGTGTGGGTGTTTAAGTGTAGGTGCAGGTGCAGGTTTATCTAAACCAGCGAGGCAGAGCTTGAATGCAAAAAAAAAAAAATTAAGTGTCAGCAAATTAATTGACAACATGCAATGTTATATAATAACCCCCCCCCCCCCTTCTATCTTATCTACCAATCAAATTCTAGACAGGTGTACTATTTCAGTAATTAATTATTTTCTGTCTTAATTAGCAGCTGTGTAAATAAATAATCTCATATTTCACATTGACTTTATTACACGTCAGAAGCCACATTTTTACAGGTATTCAATAAAAAAATGCTAACGGAATTTTATTTACATTAAAGGGGAGCTAATAACAGGTATTAAGCAATTACATTACATTAAAAGGGTGAACAATATATATATATATATATATATATATATATATATATATATATATATATATATATATATATATATATATATATATATATATATATATATTTATTTATATATATATATATATATATATATATATATATATATATATATATATATATATATATATATATATATATATATATATATATATATATATATATACTTCTATTTCGTATATACTGCATTAAAATGGCCCACTAGGTTTGATCCCGTGAATCTTAAATTAGCCTCACCTGGTGTCAATCACCTCTCAGTGTCAATTTCCTCAACACATTTTTCTCCCCTGGCACGATCGAGAGCTTCAACACACTTACACACCCCACCCCCAGCACCCAGCACCCACCCCCATCATGTGTCTGGGGTCCTTGTTAAAAATTATAAGACTTACAAAATTTGGCGTATTTAGCTGAATAATATTTCCATCGAGATTAATTGGTCAAGACACTGACGCCCAGGAAAGGGTCATTATATTTTTAATCCCAAGTGGATGGTCCAAATTTAAATGTTTGAACTATAAGCTCATGTGTCTTAAAACTATACCCGTGTGCTTTAAACTATACCCCTTTGTGACCTAAACTATACCTCGGTGGGTCTCCTTAATCCAGTGGCGTAGGGGGGGGGGTTCCAATTTTTACCCGGGGACAAACTTTCGATTTGAACCCCCCACTCAAACTTTCGATTTGCACCCCCCCCCCAAACTTTCGATTTGCATCCCCCCTCATACTTTATAAATATATATATACCGAGGGGTCTATGGGGGGGGGGGGGGTTTATGACCCCCTAACCCCCCCCCCCCCCCTGCCTACGCCACTGCCTTAATCCCACCCCACCCATCCACATTTATCAAATATTTATTGAGCTCGATCAATATTATTTTTACAAATTACCAAAAAAAAAAAAATTAAAAATTAGATTAAAAAATCATTTAATCAAATGTAAAAGTATGTCGTCACACTTTCTGACACCTCCCCCCCCCCCCCCCCGTAACAAATCGTGACAAAAGTACACGACACTAACGTCGTTTGTGGGTGACCACAGACGGTTTAAAAAAAAAAACATATAAGGGGACATAACCGTGGGTTTTCTGTCTGCATCGTTTGAAAAGAGTTTTTAATGCGGAATTATTATTTACCTCATATATTCTTTCTAGAAGAACAAATAAACTACCATTAACTAAATACGCTACTTTATTCTTATCTCCTAGACTTAGAATAATTGAAATAACATTAAATGAATCTTAACAAATGTGTATATATATATATATATATATACAGCATTTATCAATTTGATTGTGTGCTTATCATTGTTAAGCTTTGGTTGGAAAACGAAAAACTATAATTATTTTTAATACATGTTTTTGATTGATAAAAGCTGCCAATATCCCATAATTTAGTATTTCGAATACTAATAATCGTATTCATGCAGGAAACTCAGCGACTGCTGCGGTTTTCAATTACTCCTCTCCCCCCCCCCCCCTCCCCCTCCCCCACTCCGACCAATTTAACTGTCACAAAAAAGCAAACCCTTACTATATTATTAGTGTAGATGAAATGGATATTTTTAAGTAGGCACAATAATAGATGTTCGCATTAGAAAAAGTTTTAATATAGCATTTGTCATTGGAGATAGAAAGAGATTCAATCTCTATGGACAAGGGTTATCGGACCTTATCATTACGACTAGCTTCTACCTCTAGATGCTAGTGTTAGTTTAGCTGAACGTTATGTATTTCTACCTCTAGATTCAAGAGTTATACGGCTATCATTAATACTGTTTATCCCTCTAGATGCTAATTTTATTTTAACTGATCATTACGACTGTTTCTACCTCTATATGCAAATTTTATTTTAACTTATCATTAAGACTGTTTCTACCTCTATATGCTAATTTTATTTTCACTGATCATTAAGGCTGTTTCTACCTCTATATGCTAATTTTATTTTAACTGATCAGTATGACTGTTTCTACCTCTAGATGCTAGTTTTATTTAACTGATCATTACCAGTGCTTTTGCCTATAGATGATAGTTTTATTTTAACTGATCATTTAGACTGTTTCTACCTCTAGATGCTAGTTTTATTTTAACTGATCAGTATGACTGTTTCTACCTCTAGATGCTAGTTTTATTTAACTGATCAGTATGACTATTTCTACCTCTAGATTATAGTGTTATTTTAACTGATCATTACCAGTGCTTTTGCCTATAGATGATAGTTTTATTTTAACTGATCATTTAGACTGTTTCTACCACTAGACCAGGGGTCTCCAAACTTTTCAGACAGAGGGCCGCATTAACTATCAAATTTCAGTTCGGGGGCCAGTTTCTTCCAGGCTTTTCTTTTATTCTGGAAAAAGTTCCTCAGCCATCGCCAACAAACGTTTTTTTTCGTGGACAAAAAGATCTCCGCGGGCCGGATAAGAGGACCTCGCGGGCCGCATACGGCCCGCGGGCCGTAGTTTGGAGACCCCTGCACTAGACTAAAGAGTTATACGACCTTATCATTAAGACTGTTTCTACCTCTGTAAAATTGAGCGCCTTCTAATCCCAGGAAGGGATCTAATATTCCCTGCCAATAAACCCTTTCAATTTCCGCCTCTAGACCTCTACCTCAGCTAGAATAGCCCGGTCCTTTCTATTGATTTATGGGATCAGATTCAATGTCATTTATTGAAGAGGTGGGGGGAAAGAGGTATGAATGATCGAACCGGTGTAGGTACGTATGTGTGAGGTGGGGGGGGGGGGTGTAAAGAAAGTAGCGAGACGCGTTAATTGTAGAGTTATTAGGTTGAGAGGGGGCGGGGGGTTATAATGAAAAGGGCAGGTAGGTGTGTGTGTGTGTGTGTGTGTGTGTGTGTGATTGGCATGCCCACACATTTGAGAGAAGGCGTGTCTAATGGAAAGGTTAGCAGCGGTCTCTACTCGCGGTAAGGTTGGATTTTACTGTCTATAACATTCGAGCTGTGCGGAACTGACGCGAAATGTAATGTTAGAATTTCTTTTTTTAAACTTCGCCCACTAAAATATCATGAAGTCTTAAGAAAATAAATATTCTGGTATAAAACATTACTTTTTTTGCATAATTTTGAATCTTAACAAAACCTAAAAAAAAATGTGTTTCTAATGTAATATTGTCTAGGTTTCGTCTCATTTATAAATCAACAATTGTTTCTTGAATTTGCCGTTTAACAAACTTTGTTAACAAAGTTTTAGAAAGTTGGCTTTTGACACTCAGACCTCCCTACTGTTACCTACTCTTTCTTCGATTAACAGTGCGATTTTCTCATGTTTACACCCTTGCTACCTTGGCACCCACTCTGTGCTATACTTTTACTAACTTATTTAGGAACCCACTCTTGTCTATACTTCACTAACTTATATTGGCACACACTCTTGTATACACATTTACTAACTTATTTAGGAACTCACTCTAGTCTATACGTTTGCCAGCACATATAGGAACCCACTCTTGTCATACTTTTGCCAGCACATATAAGAACCCACTCTTGTCTCTACCTTTGCCAACACATATAAGAACCCACTCTTGTCTATACCTATGCCAGCACATATAAGAACCCACTCTTGTCTATACCTTTGCCAGCACATATAAGAACCCACTCTTGTCTATACCTTTGCCAGCACATATAAGAACCCACTCTTGTCTATACCTTTGCCAGCACATATAAGAACCCACTCTTGTCTACCACCCTGTCAGTCAAGATCAGCTTTGTTCTGATGCCAAATCAGCCTGAAAATTTCTAGCAGAGTAAGTCTCTTCCCCCACCCCACCCCCACCAACCCTTCGACCCCCCCCCCCCACACACACACACCCCCTCACACACACAACACAGTAGCTTTTCTTTAAAATAATCCGCTACAAAAAAAAATGAAAGGAAAAAAAGACACTTTAGTACGGTGAAATAAAACATGAATATAAAAAACGTTCACTGGACAAAGACGCAAAAGGTGGGGGGGGGGACCTATACTGCCACAGTGTGCCAACCAATACCCCCCCCCCCCCTACTCTTCGGCACCGAAAGGGGAAAAAAAGACTATCACGTTCGTGGAGAAAGACCTGTCACGATCGTGGCACACAGCGGCTGCATTATTTTAAATCTCATGTCACTTCTTTCATATCCGATTTAATTTGACAGTGCAATACGATTCAAGTGTTCCCAAGTGTTCTTCGTGTGTCTTACGTATGTGCATGTACCATTTTTAAACAGGTTGTTGTATTGAAAGGTCCGCTGTGTTAAAAGTGCCACAAGGGCTTAATTAATTCTTTTGTGCAGGAAGTGGTCCGCAATGTGCTTGTTTCGGATCTGGGTGTGTTCAGAGTTTCCTTCGGAGTTTTGTTTTTAAGTTTCTATTTATAGCTTTGTAAATCTTTTTGGAAAAATTACTATCGAACTAGTGTAAGGTGTGTTTTCACTTTCATCGTAAGTAGACTAAAACGTTAAGTTCTTGCAGTTTCGTTTAAAACTTGTGGAATGTTTTAAAATTAGTTTTGATGATTTATATAATTAATTAATTGCCGAATAGAAATAATTAAAACGCTTCTACTGAAAGTTTTGGACCAAAATAAAACCGGAAACACACAAGAGTCCGTGCCGAATTATTAATTTTATTTATTTTTTTTAACTGACCCTAATCATCTATTACTTTAATAATTAGTCTGCATTTAATATGATGAGTTGAATCCATATTTGGATGGAATATGGCAAATAAACGCAATTAAAAGATGCTCAAAAATTTAAAAATTCCTAACAATCATATCTGTCAAGTTTAGTAATATACAATTTTTACATGGTATACATTTATAGAACAAATTTAATACCAGGCACTAAAAAAACTGGTTAATAAATGCAACAATAACAATTCACCTTAATCAGATAAGCATAATTTCTAAAAATATAAGTTAAAAAGTATGGAGCATACCCTGTAATAAAACTAAAACAACACTTACTAATTACTAAAAAAAAAGCATTTTTTATTCGTTTTGCAGTAATGAAAGACATTATTCACAGTTTGAATACTGTTTTTTTCAATTATGTACGAGTCTAAGAAAGTCATGGCACAACAGAACATCAACACAATAATTTGGTGCATGATTTGATAGATTTAGTGGATGCTCATTTTTATTGGAACAATAGTTTTCAAAAAATGAATTAACGGTTAAATGACGACAATAGCATAACAGTCATAACAGCAAACATACATTCAGTATAGTACTTTTCCAAGCTCTGTAATTGAAATATTGAACAAAGAACAAAAGGGAGGGATTTTTTAATGCTTATAGCCCTCCTTATTGTATTTAACTAAACATAGGGTAGCCTAATAATCTTATGAGTAAGAAAGTAAATTAAAAACCATATTTACATTGATGAACCAATAGGGATTAAGTTTGCACTTGATCATAAATACTCATTACTTTTTTTTTTGCTTTAAATCTTTTTAAAGGAATATTATAGTAAATTTTAAAAGGCTTTAGGATTTAGCAGCTAAACGCTTATGAGAGCCATCACAAAAAGGGCGTTTATTGGACTGTTTCCACATGCAAAGCCAATACTCCTTAGTTTCTTCCACTTGAAAAGGCATTGGTCTATATCTGATATGATGAGGCCTTGTTGACATAAAATTAGGTGCTTTATGTGAAGAATCACAAAATGGCTGAGTTTTACTGTATCCACATGTGCAAAACATGTATTTTTTCCCAGCCTCAAGATCTACTCTCAAAGGCATCCTTTCAAAAACTTTTCCCTTGACTGGCTCTGGTGACTTCACATCAGGGTGATATTTTGTTGGTGTCTCAGGATGAGGCTTTTGTTTCCAAGCAGCATATTTTGGGTCATTAGGATCTTGTTCGTGTTTTTTTAAACTACCTGTTAAAAACAGAAATCTGTGAGCATATTGCAAATGAGTGTGCAAATGTAAATACTTTTGATCTGAAGATTGTTATGCCCAAGGACCTTAAAGTTAAGGAGGTCGCCATTATTCATAACTTATTAATTGATAATTAAATACTGTAAAGTATATAATATTTATATTTTTGTTTATTCAAAGAATGTTCTATATTTACTTCAATTTATGGGATGGTGCGGGAGATTGTGAATTTTTACTGCGTTCTCAATTTTAGTGTTAGAAGAGATTCCCTTCAAACCAATTATGTAACGTGTCAACATGTTATGCGCCATATAGGCTGCTTTTCTTTTTGGATTTGCTTCCATAGCCTTTGAACAAACTACAAGGGAGTAGTTGTTTCATTTTGGAGTTGTCTCTCCTAGAAAAGTGGCTGTCCCAAACTTTCGAGCCTCATCTGTCTGAGGGTTCGTACTCGAGACTTTTTGGTATAACAACCATGAGCTTTACCGACTCGACCACGCCGACCACTATTCTAATATATCTTGTAAATTAAAAAAAGTTTGGATGTGTTAAGTAAGTGATGCATGGGATGCAAGCCAAGTGGATAAAGTTGTTTCTTGTTTAGAAACGTAGGCCCTGCCTGAAACTTAAAAAAAAAATAGTTTGTGCCTGGGAAATCTTAATGTGAGATTCCTTGGTTTAAAGTGAATGCAGTCACAAAAGTAAACTGCTGGGGTAGTGTGTCCTTGGTGTATTACATAATGAGATCCACTGGTTTAAATGTAGTAACAAACTGAAACTACAGGACTAACGTGTAATGGAGAGATAACGTGAAGCACATCTTGTTATCTTAGCACAGCACACATCTACTTGTGTTTACATTTGGGATGTGTGTTGTGAACAAATAGAGCTTATGACCTTTTTCTATTGTTCTACCCGAACAGGTCAACTTCTTATATTGTTCTTCCAGAACATGGTCCATATTTTCTATTGGTCTATCAGAACTTCAGAACATATCACCTTTTGTACTTTCTCGTATACGGAGTATAGTGGAAGTATTGTAATCGTACAAAAAATTGAAATCGAGATTTTCACAAATCACGTCCATTTAGACCCCCATGAGTCGGAAAAACTTAATTTCACAATTTCGTCTTTATGTCTCTCTGTGCGTGCGTATGTGTTTTTGTGAACACGATAACTTGAGTACCGTTACAGCTAGGTTGATGGAATTTCATATATAAGTATTATAATAAATTTGTGGTTCTGAATCAACTTCTCGGCGATTTCCGGTAACCGGAAGTGGAACTTATTCTTCTTTTGGTTTTTCAAAAGCCTTAACTTGAGTACTGTTACTGATAGATTGATCCACATCGATTCAACAGTTTCTTTCAAACATTTCGCGGCACTTGAAGCGGGCAATAATAAGAATGGGTACATTGTATGTTTTCTATTCGATGATTTTTTTTTTTATTTCGTCCCGGGGGGGGGGGGGGGGGGGGTAGGGGGATAGACTTAGGGTCGGAGTTGGGTTCAGTGTTAGATTCGGAGATGGGGTCAGATTTTGGGTTAGTGTTAGGGTCAGTGTTAGATTTGGAGTTGGAGTCACAGTTGGGGTCCAAGTTAGGGTCAGAGCTGGGGTCACAGTTGGGGTCAATGTTAGGGTCAGAGCTGGGGTCACAGTTGGGGTCAATGTTAGGGTCAGAACTGGGGTCACAGTTGGGGTCAATGTTAGGGTCAGAGCTGGGGTCACAGTTGGGGTCAATGTTAGGGTCAGAGCTGGGGTCACAGTTGGGGTCAATGTTAGGGTCAGAACTGGGGTCACAGTTGGGGTCAATGTTAGGGTCAGAGCTGGGGTCACAGTTGGGGTCAATGTTAGGGTCAGAGCTGGGGTCACAGTTGGGGTCAATGTTAGGGTCAGAACTGGGGTCACAGTTGGGGTCAATGTTAGGGTCAGAGCTGGGGTCACAGTTGGGGTCAATGTTAGGGTCAGAGCTGGGGTCACAGTTGGGGTCAGTGTAAGAGTCAGTGTTATGGTCAGACTTTGGGTTCACAGTGAGGGTCAGAGTTAGTCATTAGTGTCAGAGTTAGTGTCAGTAATTGTCATAGTTTATGTCAAGAGGTATTGCCAAAACAAGTGTCAAGGTTTGAGTCAAAGTTACGGTCACTATCGTCAGTCAGTTTAAAAAATGAACGGAAACAATTTATTATGTTAAAATAATTATTTTTTTTAAATATAAGCTATTTAAAAATGTTCAATCTTTTAATTTATATTTTACTATCACAAAAACCATTAACAGACTCAAACTAATTTACCAACCCAGAGATTTGTTCATCTTAGTAACTTAGTTAGACGGCACTGGTGCATTTCCCGAGGTCTGCGCACGTTCCTCTGTGGTGGGGTTGGTGGTGGTGGGGTTGGTGGTGGTGGGGTTGGTGGTGGTGGGGGTGGTGGTGGTGGTGGTGGTGTTGGTGGTGGTGGGGGTGGTGGGGGTGGTGGGGGTGTTGGTGGTGGTGGGGGTGGTGGGGGTGGTGGTGGCGGCTGTATCATGACTACCACTTGGCTTGTTGCTTCGTTGGACTTTCATTGCGATATACAAAAGAAGGCCTATAATGAAAATTATGAACATTAACCAGCTATATAATCCAATACAATCATTAACAAAAATAATTTCTTAAACTAAGCACACACACTCCTCCCCCCCCCCCCCCCCCCCGCCCCCTCTCTCCTGCGTTCACCATTTTTTACCTATGATAATTAGCATAAGGAACATAATGATCCATTGATTGAATTTAATTATGTCAAACTTGGAATCCTGATTGAATTTAATCATGTCAAACTTGGAATCCAGATTGAATTTAATCATGTCAAACTTGGAATCCAGGTAATCTATTAAAGGTCCTATGTCAATTGTTTCCCTGCAAAAGTTACCAAAAGAAAATAATTTAAATATTAATTAATTTTGCGCCGACTAATTAGAAAATAATATAAATAATTTTAGCACATAAAAGATTTTAATTAAAGGGCTGTAACATAATAATCTATGGATACAGTTGTTGTTTGTTTTAAGAGAGGGTAGATTATAATAAATATTACTTAAATAGCAATATTTAGAGTGTTGAATTTCTTTTAAAATTACCTCCCCTTGCAAAACCATACAATTTTTTACTAATTAGTTTTATTCTCTCTACTGTTAATAAAATGTATCCAATTTTATAGGAATCCAAGCCAGAATATTATTTGACATGTATGAGTTTAATATTTTTTTAGAAATGTCTATGTACTTAATATTTTTTTATGTTCTTTGTTAACGTATACGTAAACAGTAAACTATAAAAAAATTTGGCGCTATAAAAAGCAAGTAGACTATTTCGTTATGTGTAATACGGCAATGCGATGTAATTAATGAATGGAATGTGTTATTTACTTTTTTAAGTTTCTAGAATCTATTCTATAGCGACGACGGAATGACTGGCTAACGGACTGACACATTACCACGCATTTGTTGGGGTTACTAGGGCTGATCCGAAAAGAAAATATTTGATGCCCTTGCCGAATTCCGCCAGCTTCAATACTCTGTCCAGGGCGAGGTTGGTGACATCTTTTCCTAATGTGTAGGGGGGAAGAGAAGATGTCTTACACCATTGCACACTATAGCGTTATCCGTTAAAAAATATTTTTGATAGGTCGGAGTTGGGTCCAAAGGTCAGTATGGATCAATTGTATTTAAGGGTCAAAAGTAGCGTCAGAATATGGGTGAGTACTAGTTAATTTATAAAAGTCAGAGCATGGGTCAGTTCCAGTTAGCATCTAAGGGTCAGAGCATGGGTCATTTCTAGTTGGCGTCTAAGGGTCAGAGCACGGGTCAGTTTTAGTTAGCATCTAAGGGTTAGAGCACGGGTTAGTTTTAGTTAGGGTCTGATGGTCAAGAGTATGCGTCAGTTAAAGTTAGTTTTTAATGGTTAGAGTATGGGTCAGTTCTTGTTGGGGTCTAATAAGTCAAAGCATAGGTCAGTTCTACTTAGCGTCCAAGGGTCAGTGTATGGGTCAGTTCCAGTTAGGGTCAAAGGGTCAGAGCATGGGTCAGTTCTAGTTAGGGTCTGAGGGTCAGAGCATGGGTCAGTTATATTTATGGGTCAGAAGTAGGGTCAGAATATGGGTCAGGTAGTTAGAGTCTAAGAATCAGAGTATGTGGCATATTTAGTTATGTTTTGAATTAGGGTCAGTTCTATTTAGGGGTCATTTAGAGTCAGAGTATCGGTCCGTTCTAGTTAGAGTCTAAGGTAGTTTCACAGTTAAGGTCACAAGTAGAGTCAGATCTAGGGTCAGAGTATGGGTCTAAGGGTCAGAGCATGGGTCAGCTCTATTTAGCTCTATTTAGTCTAAGTTAGGGTCTTAGGGTCAGAGCTAAAGTCGCAGCTAGGATCATAATAAGCGTCGCAGTTAGGGTCACAGTTATAGTCAGAGATTGAGTTTGATACAGCAGACAGCAGGACATGTACTTGCCGTGGCGAGGGTCGCATTTGACCAGCTGGTTCGCTGGTTCGAAACACGCGTTGGTTATCTCCGCGACGGTCAACTGTTCGTGGTACGCTTTCTCGGCTGAGATCAAAGGAGAGTGGATGATAGCTGGGAAATGGATTCGGGGGTATGGCACCAAGTTGGTCTGGAACTCTATCAAGTCCACGTTTAACGCCCCGTCAAATCTGAGCGGTGCCGTGATGGACGACACGGCCTGGGCCAGGATACGGTTCAGATTCGTGTGCGTCGGGCGTTCAATGTCAAGGTTGCGCCTGCACACGAAGATGAACGCGCAGTCCGAGTGCTCCAGCGTGGTGTGTGTGACCAAGATGGAGTTGTACGGCTCCACGATGGCTGTGGAGATCTGAGGGGCGGGGTAGATGGCGAACTCAAGTTTGGATTTCTTGCCGTAGTCGACGGAGAGCCGTTCCATGAGGAGGGAATTGAAGCCGGAGCCGGTGCCGCCGCCAAAACTGTGATATACGAAAAATCCTTGGAGGCCCGTGCACATATCCGCCAGCTTCCGGATTCTGTCCAAGACAAGATCAACGACTTCTTTGCCGACTGTGTAATGACCTCTTGCGTAACTGTTAGCGGCGTCCTCTTTGGCTGGGGGGGGGGGGGAGAAACAAATCTTAGACATTGCACACTATCAGGGGCGTAGCGAGGGGGGGCGGGGGGTGCGGACCGCACCGGGTGACACCCAACCTCGCTACGCCACTGCACACTATACAGTGTATTAATTCGTTTCTAAGATATTAAGTGATTGTAATACAATCTTTTCTAAAGATAACACTTAAACCAGAGAGTTAGCGTCGGCTAAGGTAAAAAATACCGTAAGTACTAGTTAAGATCATACAGTGTCAAAGTTAACACGGATGGTGGATTAAAAAAGCACATGCTAGATTTAGCGGGTTGAAGTTTGGGTCAGAGTATGGTTGGCTAGGACTATTGTCAGTACTAGTAACGGTCAGTTAGGGTCACTAGTTAGGTCCAGAATTATTTTTAGATCAAGCGTGAGCTATGGTTAGAATACTGTCATTCCTGATTAGTTAGATTTAGTCAGTTAACATCAGCATCAGCTAGGGGGAGGACTGCTGTCATTTCTAGTTAGTCAGGTTTTGGGGCAGTTAACATCAGCATCAGCTAGGGGGAGGACTGCTGTCATTTCTAGTTAGTCAGGTTTTGGGGCAGTTAACATCAGCAGCAGCTAGGGGGAGGACTGCTGTCATTTCTAGTTAGTCAGGTTTTGGTCAGTTAACATCAGCAGCAGCTAGGGGGAGGACTGCTGACATTTCTAGTTAGTCAGGTTTTGGGGCAGTTAACATCAGCATCAGCTAGGGGGAGGACTGCTGACATTTCTAGTTAGTCAGGTTTTGGGGCAGTTAACATCAGCAGCAGCTAGGGGGAGGACTGCTGTCATTTCTAGTTAGTCAGGTTTTGGTCAGTTAACATCAGCAGCAGCTAGGGGGAGGACTGCTGACATTTCTAGTTAGTCAGGTTTTGGTCAGTTAACATCAGCATCAGCTAGGGGGAGGACTGCTGTCATTTCTAGTTAGTCAGGTTTTGGGGCAGTTAACATCAGCATCAGCTAGGGGGAGGACTGCTGACATTTCTAGTTAGTCAGGTTTTGGGGCAGTTAACATCAGCAGCAGCTAGGGGGAGGACTGCTGTCATTTCTAGTTAGTCAGGTTTTGGGGCAGTTAACATCAGCAGCAGCTAGGGGGAGGACTGCTGTCATTTCTAGTTAGTCAGGTTTTGGGGCAGTTAACATCAGTATCAGCTAGGGGGAGGACTGCTGTCATTTCTAGTTAGTCAGGTTTTGGTCAGTTAACATCAGCATCAGCTAGGGGGAGGACTGCTGTCATTTCTAGTTAGTCAGGTTTTGGTCAGTTAACATCAGCATCAGCTAGGGGGAGGACTGCTGACATTTCTAGTTAGTCAGGTTTTGGTCAGTTAACATCAGCAGCAGCTAGGGGGAGGACTGCTGACATTTCTAGTTAGTCAGGTTTTGGGGCAGTTAACATCAGCATCAGCTAGGGGGAGGACTGCTGTCATTTCTAGTTAGTCAGGTTTTGGTCAGTTAACATCAGCATCAGCTAGGGGGAGGACTGCTGTCATTTCTAGTTAGTCAGGTTTTGGTCAGTTAACATCAGCAGCAGCTAGGGGGAGGACTGCTGTCATTTCTAGTTAGTCAGGTTTTGGTCAGTTAACATCAGCATCAGCTAGGGGGAGGACTGCTGTCATTTCTAGTTAGTCAGGTTTTGGCGCAGTTAAGCTCTGTTAGGCTAGGAAAGGGCTAGGGTCAAAGTTGGAGTCAGATGGGGTCAGATTTAAGGTCAAAGGGTCAGAGTATGGGTCAGTTCTAGTTAGCGTCTAAAGGTCAGAGCATGGGTCATTACTAGAATATGATGGTCAGTGTATGCGTCTAAGGTGGGTGGTGGGGAGGGGGAGAACTAATTGGACTAAGCCAGGCACTCACCTGGAATAAATCTAAAATCCTGATCTAACTGTAATATGCATGAATATGTAATTACACAATATAGCAAGGTGGTGTATGTGTGTAGGGAAGGGTCTTTGGAGTAACCCAGGAATTCATCTAAGGGGGAAGGGGGGGTTGGATTAACAGTAACTAAAGTAGATTATTAAATGTATTAAATGGCATGGTGGGTAGTGGGTAGTGGGTGGGGGGTGGTTGGGAAACAACCCGAGGTACTGACCTGATATAGGGGCTGCGTTGGATAACTATTATATCCTATAAAGTAGCACGGTGTGGGTTGGGGGGGGGGGGACAGATACTTAAACAACCCGAGGTACTGACCTGATAAAAGCTGCGTTGGATAACTATTATATCCTATAAAGTAGCAAGGTGTGGGTTGGGGGGGGGGGTGGGGGGGACAGATACTTAAACAACCCGAGGTACTGACCTGATACAAGCTGCGTTGGATAACTATTATATCCTATAAAGTAGCACGGTGTGGGTTGGGGGGGGGGCAGATACTTAAACAACCCGAGGTACTGACCTGATACAAGCTGCGTTGGATAACTATTATATCCTATAAAGTAGCAAGGTGTGGGTTGGGGGGGGGGGGGGACATATACTTAAACAACCCGAGGTACTGACCTGATAAAAGCTGCGTTGGATAACTATTATATCCTATAAAGTAGCACGGTGTGGGTTGGGGGGGGGGGGGGCAGATACTTAAACAACCCGAGGTACTGACCTGATAAAAGCTGCGTTGGATAACTATTATATCCTATAAAGTAGCACGGTGTGGGTTGGGGGGGGGGGGGCAGATACTTAAACAACCCGAGGTACTGACCTGATAAAAGCTGCGTTGGATAACTATTATATCCTATAAAGTAGCACGGTGTGGGTTGGGGGGGGGGGGGACAGATACTTAAACAACCCGAGGTACTGACCTGATAAAAGCTGCGTTGGATAACTATTATATCCTATAAAGTAGCACGGTGTGGGTTGGGGGGGGGGGGGGGGGACAGATACTTAAACAACCCGAGGTACTGACCTGATAAAAGCTGCGTTGGATAACTATTATATCCTATAAAGTAGCAAGGTGTGGGTTGGGGGGGGGGGTTGGGGGGGACAGATACTTAAACAACCCGAGGTACTGACCTGATACAAGCTGCGTTGGATAACTATTATATCCTATAAAGTAGCAAGGTGTGGGTTGGGGGGGGGACATATACTTAAACAACCCGAGGTACTGACCTGATAAAAGCTGCGTTGGATAACTATTATATCCTATAAAGTAGCACGGTGTGGGTTGGGGGGGGGGGCAGATACTTAAACAACCCGAGGTACTGACCTGATAAAAGCTGCGTTGGATAACTATTATATCCTATAAAGTAGCACGGTGTGGGTTGGGGGGGGGGGCAGATACTTAAACAACCCGAGGTACTGACCTGATAAAAGCTGCGTTGGATAACTATTATATCCTATAAAGTAGCACGGTGTGGGTTGGGGGGGGGGGGACAGATACTTAAACAACCCGAGGTACTGACCTGATAAAAGCTGCGTTGGATAACTATTATATCCTATAAAGTAGCACGGTGTGGGTTGGGGGGGGGGGGGACAGATACTTAAACAACCCGAGGTACTGACCTGATAAAAGCTGCGTTGGATAACTATTATATCCTATAAAGTAGCACGGTGTGGGTTGGGGGGGGGGGGACAGATACTTAAACAACCCGAGGTACTGACCTGATAAAAGCTGCGTTGGATAACTATTATATCCTATAAAGTAGCACGGTGTGGGTTGGGGGGGGGGGGGACAGATACTTAAACAACCCGAGGTACTGACCTGATAAAAGCTGCGTTGGATAACTATTATATCCTATAAAGTAGCAAGGTGTGGGTTGAAGGGGGGGGACAGATACTTAAACAACCCGAGGTACTGACCTGATAAAAGCTGCGTTGGATAACTATTATATCCTATAAAGTAGCAAGGTGTGGGTTGAAGGGGGGGGGACAGATACTTAAACAACCCGAGGTACTGACCTGATAAAAGCTGCGTTGGATAACTATTATATCCTATAAAGTAGCAAGGTGTGGGTTGGGGGGGGGGGGGGTTGGGGGGGGGACAGATACTTAAACAACCCGAGGTACTGACCTGATAAAAGCTGCGTTGGATAACTATTATATCCTATAAAGTAGCACGGTGTGGGTTGGGGGGGGGGACAGATACTTAAACAACCCGAGGTACTGACCTGATAAAAGCTGCGTTGGATAACTATTATATCCTATAAAGTAGCACGGTGTGGGTTGGGGGGGGGGACAGATACTTAAACAACCCGAGGTACTGACCTGATACAAGCTGCGTTGGATAACTATTATATCCTATAAAGTAGCAAGGTGTGGGTTGGGGGGGTGGGGGGGGACAGATACTTAAACAACCCGAGGTACTGACCTGATAAAAGCTGCGTTGGATAACTATTATATCCTATAAAGTAGCACGGTGTGGGTTGGGGGGGGGGGGACAGATACTTAAACAACCCGAGGTACTGACCTGATAAAAGCTGCGTTGGATAACTATTATATCCTATAAAGTAGCACGGTGTGGGTTGGGGGGGGGGGGACAGATACTTAAACAACCCGAGGTACTGACCTGATATGAGCTGCTCCGGGTGGAAGAGCTGTCGGTATGTTCCTGTTCTCACCTCGTCGAACACCGTGGGCTCCTGGTCAAGCATGATTTGGACGCCACCTTGGCCCAAACTTATTTTGATCACTTCCCTCATGGTGTTTGCTGGTATGTTGATTCGGGAGCTAGATCTGACTTTAGATGGCTAGCTGTCGTAGCTGTCTTGTGGCCGTTGTAATATAAATATAATGGACGGATATAAAAGTTCTCTGTCTTTCACCGCGACCTTGTGTGTTTATGATGGCTCGTTTGGCGGGGATGACGTCATTCTATTTCCGTTTTGTCTTGTTTTGATTAGAATTAGTGGAAAGAAGAAATGTTTTGGAGAGTAAGTACGCAAGTTTACGCAATTGGGGGTGGGGGAGGGGAGATTTAACACATGTTTTTTTTTAAAGTGGAGTTCGAGATTAAAAGGTTTGAACAGTTTATGAAATCATACTAAAAATTTTTTTTAAATCTTTAAAAAAATATCGCAAGCAATAAAAGCGTGGGTCACTATATTATCTATTGGATACTTTCACTAATATTAGGAAGAGAACCACGCTTTTCTTTAGAGTAATTTAAATAGTAGTGTATTATTATATGTTTAAAGAAAATCAAGGCAGTCTACTAATTTCAGAAAATTGTAATTCATAAAAAAATTAATTAGGCATCGAATTAAATCAAATTTATAGTCAGATAGCATTGTCTTCAAGTCTTAACCCACGTACTAACTTTGAAACGAATCTGTCAGTTAGAAGTGGATGAAATTCCGCTCAAGCGTTTCGATCTATGACGACAGACTGACCGACAACAGAGGAAGCAAGCTAAATAAAATCTTGTAAAAAATGTATTTAAAATCCCGAGTTACCATACCCCGTAATGTTATATAAGAATATTCGAGAAAGTTTAGGGGATATAACTCCCGCTTTATTTATATTATTATCTCAGATCATACGCCCCTTTTTTCTGTATTCTACCAGACGTATGCCCTTTTATACTGCTCTACATTATGCCCTTGGTTATTTTTCATAACAGCTATAAAAGTAACGGCAAAAACATAGTAAGAAAGACTACCTACACAAGTCTACATTATATCATAATGTGCTTATGTCCTGAACGGATAATATGTCTACAATGTTTATGTTTTTACTGTCCTCTTTATGTGTATGTACCTCTCCCTCGTCTGCTAGATAAAACAGAGTCCTGACGCTAAAATTTGAGAACCACTGTTAACTCTGTGAAGTGGCTGTCAATATAATAGATAACACAATGCTAAGGCTGTTTCTGTCTCCAGTAGTCTTCGACACAGTAGGAAAACAGTTGTTTCCAGATTTAGCGAGAGGCTGCAATAAATTATAAACTTTACTACTTTCTTTCGTCTCCGTAGCGTTGTGCATTATTTTACAACACCTTCGCCGCTTGCGTGTGTGATGTGTTGCAGCGTGTTATTTCTGGGCAGCTTACGGTTATGTTGTGAAGGTTAAGTAATTAGGCGTGCGCGATAATTATTATCTAATCATTTTTTTTTGTGAATTGAAGAATGAATCGGGTATTCCACTGTGGGGTAGTAGTGTAGAAGGTCAAGGTCGTGTGACGCGACGTGACCGTGTGAACTGGGACGTGACCTATTTCATGGACGTGATCTTGTGCCTTGCTCAGACGTGACGGTGGCTCCAGAACTTAAAACTTCAGCGTGACACTATATTTGAGATATTGCAGAACGTGATCGTCTAATGCGCATAAAATTCCTAACGTGATCCTGTTAGATGAACATCTCATATGACGTGATCCTGCATGGAGTCTAGAGCTCATAACGTGACATTTCTATTTATAAACACTATCCCACATGATTGCCAATCACGAACCAGATTTGACATGTGTGCACGTTGAACTCCAAAAGAAGAAGTAATCTATTACAGTTGAGCGGTTTAAGTTTTATGGATCAGGTGGATCTAACTGAACAATGATAGGTAGAATGAGCCTACGCAAGAGGAGGAGGATCGACACGTCCCCAGGTAAGACACGGTTCGAATCCACCCAGGTATGACCTAGTTTTTCAGATGTAAATATGAATAATTATTTTAGAGCTTGATTGTTGTTGTTTTTTTTTTGTCTTATCTACTTGTGATATTCACACATACTTGATCTATACTTTAGATAAGAAACGATAATGTTCATTATGAGAAATTATATAATTTCTCTCGCTAATAACCGATCGATTATTGACTCGTCTAATAACTAGAGATCTGCTGTATTTAGTAGTAATCTTAGAACTTGAGGTTAATGTTGACATGAATTATATTCGTTTATTGTTTCCTATTTACAACTTAGCTCTTAATGTGTGTAGAAATTTCAGGTAAAAAAAAAATAACCCGGCAAAAGCAATTAGCTTGATTGGGTTTTACTCGACTTTTAAACACATTCTTTTAAGATTCTTGAAGTTAAACCTACCTATGCCTCCTCTTCCCCCCCCCTCCCCCACAATTATAGGATTTTTTTTAGTTGTATATGGTTCTGTGTCTTTTTTTCTTAAAAAAAAAACGAAATCAAGATAAACAGTTGCAATATTTTAAAACCATCAGAGTTTATGTGAAATTTGAAAAAAAACCTCAATAAATGTAGTCTAGCAATTTGAGCCTTATTTTACCCTATTCGAACCCTCCCCTCTGTCTATCCCCAACCCCTAGTGTTACACGTTCGCACCAGAAGTCTAACCCCCACTGTAATGAGTTACAATTTTACCATACGGCCCTCACGAAAATTAACCAGTTTTCAATATCACTTTATGAGCTTATAAAAGTTAGGCCTTGTTTCTAACGCCATCTCCGCCCCTCCCAGCAGTCTAAACACCCCCCCCCCCCCACCCCCAATGTAGGTTTTCATTTATGGTCGACCCTTAACTTTCGCCCAACGCTAAATAGAAAAAGAAACTAAAATAAGTCACAATCGTGTGTAACTAAAGCCCAAATGTGTAGACTGCTGCAGTGGCGTAGCGAGGTAGGGTGTCACCCGGTGCGGCACTTAATGGTGTCACCCCCCAGAGGCGTAGCGACCCTTCCCGGGGACAAACTTTCAAATTTTCGATTTTCACCCCCCCCCCCCCCTCAAACTTTTCGATTTACACCCCCCCCCCCTCAAGTTTTTCTCTGTATATTATGCTATTTTTTACCTTGGTGTCACCCCCCCCCTAAATGGTGTCACCCGGTGCGGTCCGCACCCCCCCCCCCCCCCCTCGCTACGTCTCTGGACTGCTGTTGCCCACACAGTTAACCCTCTAAAGCCCACGTATGTCGACTGTTTAGCATTTTTCTGGGAACCCAATTTGGTTATATAAGGTACTTTTCTAGTTCCCACATTTCTATACTTTTATAAGGTCAATATTCTATGCAGTTTTTAATACCTCGTTTCGAAAAAAAAAAGTTTTGTAATTCAGTTCCAGCTAATTTGTGTCAACAGTTCAACCTTATCCAACCTTTGGAAATAAAGCTTATCTTATTAATCCTACTCCTGCTAATCTCATGCCAGATTAGGATTAATGATCTGCAAGTTGTCAAACACGGAGGTGTCATAATACGTCATACAGGAGAAATATGACGTCCAAAAGTCAGGTCTTTGAGTTTACAAAACAGTTTTTTTTCTTCGATAACGGACCGCTATCTTTTATATCAGGGTGCTGGGTACTTTGGTAGATATTTCTTGTGGTTGTATAAGAGTGCCGGGTACTTTGGTAGATATTTCTTGTGGTGACATCAAGGTGCCGGGTACTTTGGTAGATATTTCTTGTGGTTATATCAGAGTGCCGGGTACTTCGGTAGATATTTCTTGTGGTGACATCAAGGTGCCGGGTACTTTGGTAGATATTTCTTGTGGTTATATCAGAGTGCCGGGTACTTCGGTAGATATTTCTTGTGGTTGTATAAGGGTGCCGGGTACTTCGGTAGATATTTCTTGTGGTGACATCAAGGTGCCGGGTACTTTGGTAGATATTTCTTGTGGTTATATCAGAGTGCCGGGTACTTCGGTAGATATTTCTTGTGGTTGTATAAGGGTGCCGGGTACTTTGGTAGATATTTCTTGTGGTTGTATAAGGGTGCCGGGTACTTTGGTAGATATTTCTTGTGGTTATATCAGAGTGCCGGGTACTTCGGTAGATATTTCTTGTGGTTATATCAGAGTGCCGGGTACTTCGGTAGATATTTCTTGTGGTTATATCAGAGTGCCGGGTACTTCGGTAGATATTTCTTGTGGTTGTATCAGGGTGCCGTTGCTTGGCGTGGTAGATATTTCTTGCTGTGGTCTATTTTAAGTAACTTTTTTTTAAATGTGTTTTGGAAAGGTTTTTGTCTCATGGCTTTTCCATTTCTTGGGTTACCCTCCCTTCTCCCTTGAAGTCAGAAACATGTTTCTAGCTTGGCACATATTTTATAATCGTCAAAGACCTACATGCCTACGTAATTGGAACCGATGAACTCTACTTCCTCTGCCCAAATGGGTCTGGCACATGTACAGGAAAAGATTATGGTTTATACATACAAGTGTATATTGTATTTTAAGAATTAATAGTGAAAAAGCACAAACGCAAACCATCAAATTATACATATAGGCATATATATATATATATATATATATATATATATATATAAGAATATAGACTAAAATAAATTAGCATATATATACATACATTAACATATTTGTGTAATACGTATAAAACATACACTATACTTATTATGTAAATAAAATATTCTTCTAGCATAAGACGCATTGAAAGATAGAAACTTTTAAGTCTGGTATTTATAGTGAAGCTATGAATGTTTGAATGCCTAAAGTCGGCAATATTGCAACATTTTGGCGAGCGGCCGATCGGGGAACACATGTATACGTGTTGTGACAGTGAATTTTACATGATAATGGCTGAATCACTCAAGCGGCACGTAGAAATGGGATAGATTCAACTAAAAATCGATTGTAGCCGTACCGAGTCAGTGTGAAGAATGATCTACCCGATGGAACTACTACACTGCCGAAATTGAAAAAAAAATTAATTTTTTTTTTACACTATGACCAACAAAGAATACCGTTCAGCCTGTATATGGATCAGTTGAAGCTGGATATTCTTGTACACATTGTATACATAACACGTTCTTTTAAATGGTGGTTGTGTGCGGTAAACTGATCTAGGATACGTTGATGCCGTATGGTGCCTGAAAGGGCATTGGGTCAAGATGTGGATCACATGGATGAAATGGACACTGGTGTGATCTCACACGGAATCGGCGCGTGTGTTTCCTCT